ACCCATTGTAGTATTGTTTACAAACATTGTAGTAATTTTACACCCATTGTAGTATTGTTTACAAACATTGTAGTAATTTTACACCCATTGTAGTATTGTTTACAAACATTGTAGTAATTTTACACCCATTGTAGTATTTTTACACCCATTGTAGTAATTTTACACCCATTGTAATATTGTTTACAAACATTGTAGTAATTTTACTCCCATTGTAGTAATTTTACACCCATTGTAGTATTTTTACACCCATTGTAGCATTGTTTACAAACATTGTAGTAATTTTACACCCATTGTAGTATTGTTTACAAACATTGTAGTAATTTTACACCCATTGTAGTATTGTTTACAAACATTGTAGTAATATTACACCGATTGTAGTATTTTTACACCCATTGTAGTAATTTTACACCCATTGTAATATTGTTTACAAACATTGTAGTAATTTTACTCCCATTGTAGTAATTTTACACCCATTGTAGTATTTTTACACCCATTGTAGTAATTTTACACCCATTGTAGTATTTTTACACCCATTGTAGTAATTTTACACCCATTGTAGTGTTGTTTACAAACATTGTAGTAATTTTACTCCCATTGTAGTATTGTTTACAAACATTGTAGTAATTTTACACCCATTGTAGTATTTTTACACCCATTGTAGTAATTTTACACCCATTGTAGTATTGTTTACACCCATTGTAGTAATTTTACTCCCATTGTAGTATTTTTACAAACATTGTAGTAATTTTACTCCCATTGTAGTATTTTTAGACCCATTGTAGTAATTTTACACCCATTGTAGTAATTTTACACCCATTGTAGTATTGTTTACAAACATTGTAGTAATTTTACTCCCATTGTAGTATTTTTGCAAACATTGTAGTAATTTTACACCCATTGTAGTAATTTTACACCCATTGTAGTAATTTTACACCCATTGTAGTAATTTTACACCCATTGCAGTAATTTTACACCCATTGTAGTATTGTTTACAAACATTGTAGTAATTTTACTCCCATTGTAGTATTTTTGCAAACATTGTAGTAATTTTACACACATTGTAGTATTTTTACACCCATTGTAGTAATTTTACACCCATTGTAGTATTGTTTACAAACATTGTAGTAATTTTACTCCCATTGTAGTATTTTTGCAAACATTGTAGTAATTTTACACCCATTGTAGTATTTTTACACCCGTAGTAGTATTGTTTACAAACATTGTAGTAATTTTACACCCATTGTAGTATTTTTATAAACATTGTAGTATTTTTACTCCCATTGTAGTATTTTTGCAAACATTGTAGTAATTTTACACCCATTGTAGTATTTTTACACCCGTAGTAGTATTGTTTACAAACATTGTAGTAATTTTACACCCATTGTAGTATTTTTATAAACATTGTAGTATTTTTATACCCATTGGACTTATGTACATCAAATTATCAGATATTTTATAGAGATTTTAATACTGTGTACATATTTTGTGTAATTTTTTTTGGGTTCAGTACCATGATTTTTAATTTCAGTATGGGAAGTTCTAGCAATTTGAATTAAGGCACGATGCCATGCACCCCACTAGTTAATAAAAATGTTTAAAAGATAAATTTGGTTATAATTCTTCTCCCCCAGAACCTGGTTATATATTTCAGAATTCAGGCGGCACCCTGAATCATATTGGTAGAGTGGCTCGGCACACCACAGTTAAAAGCTTGCCGACGCCTGGTCTATACTATATATCTGACATCACTATGGGATGGGCTCCCTAATATATACATATGTATATATATTCATGCGCTTACTACTGCATATGTATTTAATACACACACATGCGTAAATGAATATCTTTTTCAGCCCGCGTCGGATTTTGTGAAGAATTTAGTTCAATTTAAAACTACCCAAAATTTTTTGAGGTGGCGCCACTTTATTATTGTACGAAAATGGATATTTATTACGTATGTGTGTGTGTATTAAACGAATATGCAGTAGTAAGTGCTTGAATATATATATTGGGGAGCCCATCAACATAGTGATGTCAGATATATAGTAGGGAATTGTGTAGATGCCCCCTTGTGATTATTTAAATTAATTAATTTAATTAGATTTATTAAAATCATTGAAAGTATCTACATATGCTTGACTTAACAAATTCGATCTTGCATATTTGATATAATACATATAAATATGTTTCACATTTTGCATATTTTATATTTAATAAACTATTATTATAAAAAACTATTTCATAAAAATATTCTATAAAACACTTATAATTATTAAAGAAAAAAGTATAAACTAGATTGTTAGAACTTTTTTTTTTTTTTTTTGTTAAATAACAAGTTTATATATATATACAAATCCGACAATTCCAAAATTTTTAATTTAATATTGTTAAATATATACATGAACTATGTTTATATATATATATATATATATATATATATATGTTTAATTTGAGTTTAATATTCGGGCGTAACATCAATAAAAATAGTATGAGTTTTTTTAACCCTAAAATTTTACATTTTGAAGAGAATACAATTAAAAGAAGATTCGCTGAGGGGTTGTTTTTACAATTACATAACGAGAGAGTCATAAATAAACGCAATGACAATACGGCCCTTATCGAAACGAACACGTGGTTTCTTAATAGCGTGTCAAAATTCCTTAAAAAATAACAAAATCCCATCGCCTTTTAAATTTTCCAAAAAATATCAACACATGCTAAAAACTACTTTGAGAAAGTTGTGACATTTCTATCCTAAACTCCGAAGAGTAAATACATAGTTTCGACAACTTGTCAAGTTATCATGATTATTAGTGTGTTTTACCATTTGTGATGTTTGTGTTAAAAAATACATATCTTATCAATGTGCACATACTCATACCATGGATTAATAATGGTTTCATATGCTATTAGGATACAAAATTGTAAGTGTTTTATTACTATTATTATTATTATTGTTTTTCCATGAAATTTCCTTTCATATAATTTATTTAGTTCCAATTTTTATAGTTAACTTGATTACCACTGAATGATGGCTAAGATGCTAGCCGAAACGTATGGATTTTAAATAAATAAAATTTTTTAAAAAAACTCATACTATTTTTATTGATGTTACGCCCGAATATTAAACTCAAATTAAACATATATATCAACATCAAATTCAAGAATATTCAAAAATATATATATATATATATATATATATAATGGTGAAATAATATATATATATACATATAAACATAGCTGGGCATTAACTCGTTAATCCGTTAATCGTTAATTAACGAAGTTAACATTTTGATTAACGGATTAACTTTTAAGTTAACTTTTAAAAATGTTAACGGACACGTTAACTTCCGTTAAAATACCAGAAGTCCGTTAATCGTTAATCCAATGCCTACTATTTACCGCACGGCACAGCTTTAGCCATAGGCTTTAGCCAATGCCTTATTAAACGGCATAGAGAAAAGATTTGGACTACTCCTGATTGATGAACAGTGCCAACTTGCCGCGGCATTTCACCCAAAGTTTCGGTTAATGTGGCTGGAAACGTATGACAGCAGTAGAGAGGAATGCAGTAAGAAAAAGCACGGAAAAAAGGTAGAAGATGCCTTATGGCAAGAAGCAGCGAAAAATTCAAAGAACAGAGATAGTTTAAGTGGCGGAGGGAGCAATGCGAGTAACAACGATGATGACGAGAAGGAAGACTTTTTCAATTCTGTCACTCAGTCTATAGAAAAACCAAAGAGCTACAAACTCTTTAAAGACCTAGCTGTAAGTGAAATTCTGTCTTAAGGCAATTAAGGCGTTGTGCCTTAAGGCAAATTGCTGGAACTTCCCGTACCAAAAATTATTATTTTTTTAAAAACGATTAAAATTTTTGAAAAAAAATTACTTCAAAGAAATAAGATTTTTGACAAACAATTAGACATAAAATTACTTTTTTTTTGAAAAAAAATTTTTTTTAATTTTTTTTTTTTTTGAAAAAAAAAGGTTTTCTTTAGAAAGATCTAAACTTTTTTTCAAAGCAATCGTACTGCTTTAACTGCATAAAGACGAGATATCAAACCGCGTAAGCGCCGCGTCGACGTATAACGCGTAAACATTGGTACGGAACCCATAGGAATATAAACCAAAATTATACTTATTGTTAAAATCTCTATAAAATATCTGATAATTTGATGTGCATATGTCTAATGATCATTTTTGACCGCCAAATGGCATTTTTTTTTACTTTTTTTTATTAGATCTCCGAAACCGCTAGACCTGCCTTTATGAAAATTTGATCGGTTCTTCATCTTGTCAATACAAGTAAAATGTATTTTGAATTATTAAAATCGGACGCTCCGTTCTCTTAAAAACGGAGGTACCGTTTCTGGCACTTTTTGACCCGTATCTTCGGAACGGCTGGACCTGACTTCGCCAAAAACTAATCAGCACGTCTCCTTATCAATACGAATCGAATGTTTTTTTAATTATTCAAATCGGTTGATCGGTGTTCCCGAAATCGTCGACAAAAATTTGTATCCGCACATACATACACACACGTACATACATACATACATACCAACACACACACACATACATCCATTTTTTCTAAGGTATGCCAAAATGTTCAGGAACCTTTGAAACGTAAAGATATATAAAAATTTTCATTTTCGATTTTTTTGAGATTACTATAACTTGCCCTACGGGAAGTTAATAAGTTTTTTAAGTTCACTAACGCAACGATATAAAAATGTAATTTTACACATATTAACGGATTAACGATTAACGTTAACTTGCGTTAATTCTTCCGAAATGTAACGCTTTAACGTTTAACGAAGTTAACTTTTTTTGTAGCGGATTAACGATTAACGAAGTTAACTATTTGATTAACGGTGCCCAGCTATGCATATAAATATAAATGAAAGGAAACTATAATATTTTATAAAGGATATTTTATTACAAAATATAAATTATTTGATTGCATATATTAATGATATAAAGATATAAATTTATATCTTTCATGACACATGCTTATGCACTATAAAGTCCCATGATTCTTTCCATTTTAATTTCAATATATCCTCTGATTCTAATTGTGTCATTCCATAGCTTAAAACAGTAAAGTATTTATATATGTAAATTATATAAAATAACCATAACATAACAATAAATTTAAAACAAGACATAATATAATTTTTCTTAACTTGCTTACATAAATCATACAAATGATCTAAAACAGATGCCAATAGTAAAACCTTGAAAACAAATGCTGGTAAATAATGGTGTAAAAATAAAGTTCTTTCAAAAAAGAAATATGGAATATAGTGAAATAAATAACCAGTTAAACATATTTCGCCGATTAATAAAAACTTGGACCAAGCTTGTTCACTTAAATCATAACATAATCTTCTTCTTCTAAGTAAGTACACAGTTAAAAAACATACATAAATCATTATAGAAAATGTTGCTGAATACCATATTACAATGTTTCCCAGTAAATGAATCTGAGCCTGAAAATAAATTGAAAATTGGTTAATTATATTAAGTTCATATGCAATACTTAATAAATATTAAAATAGTTACATTGCTCTTTCCATCCACCCAGTATGCTATTCCTCTGGTCATTAATGGCCAATGTAAGGGTTCGCTGCTGTACATGTGGCTTTGGGGTTCTTGAGATGCAAATAGCATCTTATACTGCAATTCCATAAACTTTCTCCAGAAAGAAAGGTCTGTATTTGAAGTAGGAATCATTTCTGCATTCACTAGGTCTAATTCACGTTCTTTTTGATCATCAGCTGCAAAGACATTTATAATAAAAATGTATATATATATATATATATATATGTATATATATATATATATATATATATATAAGTATATATATATATATATATATCTTAAAATGAATGAGATCCTAGAAAAAATGTATAGATTTAATTTAATAAGATTTAGAAATTCTGAAATATTGACTTAATCAGTAAGAATCCACATTGAGTAGATAAAAAAATTTAAGTTACAAAATTATTAAATATAATAAAATTAACAACATACATTTTGTATAACGGTGCTCCTCGACATTCCATATAGTATCCTGTTGATCAATAATTCTATCAGTAACTATCTCATGCTGATTAAATCCCCAATCAGGCAGCTGTCTTCCAGTGTACCTAAGTGCTTGATTGCTGGGCACATGAATAAGTCTAATCTAAAAAATATATAAAAACACAATACATATATATATATATATATATATATATATATATATGTATATATATATTGATTGTTTATTTTCCAAACAGTAAATCCAATAATAAAAAACAATTTGTTTTTTGAAGATGTTTAATAATGACGTTTCGGAACTACATACGTTCCATCATCAGGTTCATTTTTGTCAAAGACAATGACTATTGACTAACATTAATTAATGATGGATATTACATATGCACATACATATACACACCTACATACACATACATGCATATCCACATACATGCATATTCATATATCCATAGCTGGGCATTAACTCGTTAATCCGTTAATCGTTAATTAACGAAGTTAACATTTTGATTAACGGATTAACTTTTAAGTTAACTTTTAAAAATGTTAACGGACACGTTAACTTCCGTTAAAATACCAGAAGTCCGTTAATCGTTAATCCAATGCCTACTATTTACCGCACGGCACCGCAAGATTTGGACCACTCCTGAATGATAAACAGTGCCAACTGGCCGCGGCATTTCACCCAAAGTTCCGGTTGATATGGCTGGAAACGTATGACAGCAGTAGGGTGGATGCAGTAAGAAAATGCATGGAAAAAAAGGTAGAAGATGCCTTACGGCAAGAAGCAGCGGAAAATTCAAAGGACAGTTTAAGTGGCGGAGGGAGCAATGCCAATAACAACGATGATGACGAGGAGAAAGACGTTTTTAATTCTGTAACTCAGTCTATAGAAAAACCAAAGTGCTCCAACTCTTTAAAGAATAAAGCGCAAAGTCTGCTGCATTCCTCGGGGAACAGATATTCACAAATCTATTTATTAAATACAATACTGCTATACCCTCAAACGCTGCAGTTGAACGTTTATTTTCCACGGGTAAAGACATTTTGACACCAAAACGAGCCTCGCTTTCAGACGAGAACTTCAACATGTTAATGTTCATGAAGAGAAATATGCACCTAATACCCGACGCTTAACCCGTCGCGCGTTTCCTATTTTTCGCAAAAAAACTCTTTCCCTTTATTTAGAAAATTAGTTGGTATTTAGCCTTGAGGCAAGTTACATGAACTTCCCGATATGTGTAAATAATCGACTTAATAAACAAATTAATTTATGATTGATTAGAAGTATTCCGAGAGCTTTTATTACGCATAATTGAAAACGAACGAACACGTTAACTCGGAGTATTTTCTAAAAGCAAATTTTCACTAATCAATAATTTTTATAATTAAACCAGTTTTCGTAGGACGTTAATGGTTTAGTATGTTCATTAAGACCAAGTAATCTATCGTTATACAAAGTAAATCATCTAATTTTAATTTTAACAAACGTCAACAAAACTACTCATTTTCTCAAACTTTGATGATTTTTTAAAATTAAACTACTTGTCGTAAGGCCGTAATATTTTAGTAAGTTCTATAAGACCATGATATACATCGCCAAAGAAAGTTTCATAACAATCGGCTTAAATTTTGTTTTCAATAGTTAATTACAAGGAAACGCTCGGTAGATTTTCACCTAAAACCAATCAGTATTATTCCCAACTAATATCTTTCGAACAGTTTTTTATTTTTTAAAATCGAGTCTGTAGAATGAGTTTAAATGTGGACAAAAAGTTAACACTCTTTTTTAAATTACAAAGAAACGGCTCGGCAGATCGTCTCACAAAACTGATAAACTATAGTGCTCATTGAGATACATCGAATGGCTTTTAAATTTCTGAAAACGGTTCAGGCATTTTTGAGCAAACGTCGATGAAAGGTCTAATTTTGACAAATGCCAAAAAACGATACCAATTTTTGCAAACTTTGACAAATATTTAAAGCTAAACGAGTTGTCGTAGGGCGGTAATATTTTAGTATGATCTAGAAGACTATGATATCTACCGTCAAAAAAAAAATCATAAAAATTGTCGGATTTTTTTTTAACTTTATTACAAGAAAACGACCCGGCCGATCGTTACCAAAAACTAATCAGCACGATTCCGAACCAATATCTTTCGAACGGTTTTTAAATTTTCAGAATCGATTCAGAATTGCGGGCTAAAACGTGGACGAAAATTTTGTCACATTTCTGCTATTTACAAGGAAACGGCTCGGCAGATCGTCGCACGAATCCGACAAACGATAATCCTCATCGAGATACATCGATTGGCTTTTAAATTTTTGAAATCGGTCGAACCGTTTTTGGGAGAACGTCGATTTACGGCAAAAAATCTGTTCACATACACGCACACACACATACTTTTTCCAAATTTGGTCTTTTTCGATTCAGAATGGCTTGAAACGTCGAGAAAACATAAAATTATCAAATCGGATTTTTTGATGAAAACATAAATTTCTCCTTCGGGAAGTTAAAAATTCTTGTAAAAACAATATGCAATCATAAAAACGGAAAGTTGACCAATAGCGTCATTATCACGGTGTGTGCATAAAGCGCGTCGCGCTATTTTCCCTATAAAACGCGCTTGGGGTTAAATTACACATTTGAATTATACAAGTATTTTGTTTTTTCCAGAACCTAAACCAATAAGTTTTTTAAGTTTACTAACGCAATGATATAAAAATGTAATTTTACACATATTAACGGATTAACGATTAACGTTAACTTGCGTTAATTCTTCCGAAATGTAACGATTTAACGTTTAACGAAGCTAACTTTTTTTGTAGCGGATTAACGATTAACGAAGTTAACTATTTGATTAACGGTGCCCAGCTATGCATATATCTATATATTCATGTACATACAATTATATACACGAACATACATACATTTATTAAAAGTTTTAAAAAAACATTGTCTTTGACAGAATAAACCTGATGATGGAACGTATCTAGTTCCGAAACGTCGTTATCAAACATTTTCAAAAGCAAATTGTTTTTGAAGTAAAACTTCTTTAGGCGCGATATGGGTGTAAAAATTTTTAGGCACGACACGGGTGTAAATCCGTACAAATGCAACGAAAATGCCAACGTGTAGTTGAACACTACGACGCCGTAAGCGCTGATGTCGCGAGTATCCACTCCCGTCATGTCATGCGTAAGTCGAGCGCTAAACCCTATATGAACTTGCATTAATTGAATCACGTTTTTTTTTACAAAAGAAGAGGTTGCTGTATTATGTCCTCATGGAATAAGACTTTTCTTAGAGAATAAATGTGTCATGGAATATAATAAATTTATATTGAATCTCGTTGAAGACAAAATAATATCTACTGCCACGGATATTTATGTAGGTTGCCATGCGACAGATCAACAATCATACATTCGTCAGCAGTTTCACAAAAATCGGTTATTGATACCGGGGGTTTGCCGTATGAAATAATTTTAGTTCTGAATAAATTTTACATAATAACAACTAATATTGATGTAAGTGATGGCTTAGCTAATGGCTGTGTAGAAAAATTAGTGTACATAGAATGTGGCGATAATGATGAACTTCTACGTTTATGGTTTGAATTTCCTGGTAAGATAGGTAACAAAATTAGGAAGAAAGCTGTACATCATATTCAAACTCTTAATATCAGTAGGACAGCTGTGCCGATTCTCAGGAGATCTTCATCTATTCCAATGAATAGAAATAAAATCATATTTGCCAAAAGAAATCATTTTCTTTAATGCCATTAATTCTTGCTGGAGATTTCAATGTCAATTTTCGTTCAGAAGAATCTCAACCATTAATTGATTTTTTAAATAATAAATTTAATTTAACAATGAATAATTCTCCATTTGAATCAACCACAAGATATGGCACGACTATTGATGCAGTTTTCTCCAGAAATGTACATAGTTTACAAAGCAAAATTTATGTCTCTCATTTCAGTTATTACAAACCTATTATATCATATATGAAATATGATAGCAATTAATCTATCGCTGTTGTTTCAAACAGTGTTATTGATGTTATGTGATTATTAATAAATGATTTTTAAAATTCAAATATGATGTTTTTTTATTTTTATCTTAATTGTCTACTCATACAATATTAAAAGTTTTACTTCAATCGCGTGTGATCCTTACGCGCACTCTTTTTTTTATTATTGGATTTACTGTTCGGTAAAGAAAGAATCAATATATTGAAAAAATTCAGGACTTATCTATTAAATATATATATACACCTAAGTCTGTTTTTACACGGTAGATTGGTTCTAGAAGAAGCCGTGTAAAAAAAACGTGTAAAAATAGACATTGATCTTATACAAAAATGGGTGATTTGTTCCTAATTTCTAAAACCTATTAAAATTAGTGAAAAACAAGAATTTTTAAGAACAAGAATTCATGTTTATTTTATTAAATCAAATATAAAATGCTTATTTTCACAAGCATAGTAATTAATGATAAAAAAGATATGCACTCTAATCTTAGAAGTAATATAAATTAAATGTATGGCAAGTTCGGGAACTAAAAAACTATGTTGTGAACGAAAAGAATAGGTTATTACTTAAATCTGACCACTAAATTTTATTGTATGCACATAAAGGGAATTCCCCTAAATTAGTGCTATTCACATTTGCTTTGACCAGTAAAAATTGTTTGTACGCACTAAAGGGGAATTCACTTAAATCTTTAAGCTAGTGTTCGCAAACTATCTATACTATTGATGGTTTCAGACTTTTTTCTTTCATAAGTACTTTTTTAAGTTTAAGTACATAAAATATCAAATCGTGCTAAATGGAATAAAATCGTGTAAAAAAATTAAAAATATTCAATTTTCAAACCGTGTTATATCAAAACTGTGTACAAAAAGACCGTGTAAAAACAGACTTAGGTGTATATATATATATATATATATATATATATATATAGCTTGGTAATTAAAAAAAAATTATAAAATGATATAATTACCTGTGATTGAATGGTATGCCATTCATCACCTTCTTGCTCCTTGTTAATAATATCAACTTTCCATAAATTTTGTGCAGGCATTGACACGTTATAATCAATATAACATGATACTTCCTAAAATTAAAAACATGATAGGCAAAAACAACTATAAAAAATTTACATCTGAAAATCACATACAATGCCCTACATTTATTATATTTGAGTAGGTCTTAGTGGTTGTGATCATTTTGCAATGTTACTATTTTGGTCAAAGATGTTAATAACATTTATTACATATTTAAAGTAAGTACTGACCTGACACTGGGGTGTAACAGGTGCTGCTACATCATGACTATTAAGTGCTCTACTAGTTATTCCATGAACTAACTGTATAACATCGTTATGCTTAATTATATCAACTTTATCACCAACTGTTAAATCATTTCGATCAGGTCTTTTTACAATCCACCAATTGTTAACATCTTTAAAACTATAGAGAAATATATAGTAATAATAATGCATGTAATAACTTAGAAATATAATAAAGTGTTATAAGTTAATAAAAAGGATTAAACTTTGAACAAACCTGTAACATGTGACCTGTTGTTGGTGAGATGAACCTCGTTTGTCTGCATATCTGAAAAAGAAGGAAAAATACTCAAGATTAAGATTTATTTATTCCTTATTATAGTATTTATGTTATTAAAATAAACCACACCTCAAATTGTTATAGGTTTTCAATTTAAACTAGTTCTTACATTTCTTTTTTAAAAAAAATATATTGACAGATTAAGATAAATAATTTTTAAATAAATAATAAAATAAACTACCTGATAGGATAGGTATGTGCATGGGAATGTAACCAGCAAGTGCGTCCATGTGTATGACGTAAAGTTATCTGAGATCCATGGCCAATTTTTAAAGGCTGACCTGCAGTAATTGATGCTAAACCACCTGCCAACAAAAATAATATAAAATGAGCCTAGCAAGCAAACAATAATTAATAAATTATTATTATCAATTATCAAATACCTTGTAAAGATGCCTGAAAAGCACTTGTCATGACGGTGTCATGGGGTCCTGCTTTATTTAATATGGATAAATGGCAATAAAATATGCTCAAATATACTGTAGATGATACTATACATATAGTAGCAACTATGATTGAAATTTGCTTTACCAATGCATATGATGATAAAGTTTTATCACTTATTTGCTTCCAAAATTGTCGTATCACTATTGAAAAACCTAACCAGCAGGAGAAAAATCCAACATATTTTACACTGAAAATAATAATGAATAAGTATAAATACATTCATATATACATATTAAATTAAATTCATAAATACCACAAAGCGCATGTCAATAAAACAATCCCTAAAATGAGTGATAACCACCATTTAATAGTGTAATTGTTATACTGCCTGAATTTAAGCAATGCCAATGTTCCGCACAATGTAAACATCATTAAAATTGGTTCCATTAGAATAAATCTAGACTGTGTTAAAAGAGCATTATCTGAAAATTTAATGCAACTAAATCAATTTCTTTATTAATTTATTGAAGCACATACCTGCATATATCTAACCACAAATAATCAGAAGTCCACCAACAATGGAAACCCATCTGGCTATTTTCATTTCAGAAAGTATTTTATATGTAATTGGGGCTAAAAGGCTTCCACATAATGCTGGTAACAAACGCAATGAAAATAGTGGAACATCTTCCGTGTAACTGTGTCCTATTTTTTCAAATTTGAAATCTCCAGAATAGTCAGCAAAATAAGCAAACAGTGCAATTAACTGTTTACCAAGAGGCGGATGTGAATCAAAAAAGAAAGTTCTTTTCATATATAAAGATATGTATCTTCCATAATGAAGTTCATCAAAACTATGAATGAGAAAAGTTATTTTTTTTACCAATATTGATTATTAAATCATCTCACTTTCTTTACAAACTTACACTATGTGATTTGGCTCAACCAACTTGTACAACCTTGTTGCAATTGAAATAACAAATAATAATACAAAGACAATATCAAGTTCAATTACTACTGAAACAGGACTAGTATCTTCTATTATATTCAATTCGCGAATGGAGTTACAATCTTCATTTTCCTGCACAGGTTTTTTGGAATTAGATGTTCGTAGTTTGTTCTCCATTCTTGATGACACAATAAGTACAAGAACGGTGTAACATTAACAAATAAATATAATATGCATTTGCTTCACATATTTCCAAATTAATTGTCAAATCACATATTATTGAGCATTAAAATCAAAAATGCAACGTTTAACCTGTTATTATGACATGTCTTAAAACTAACGGTAAAAATAGTGACGTCAAATATTTTCGTAGTAGAAAAATGAACCTTCAAAAATTTTTAAAGGTGCGTTCATGCTTTTTTCGAATACAGATGGTACCACTGATAACTCCTTTATGCGCATAGGTTCACTCCTTTATATTGATAGATTTACTTGTTCCGTCCAGTATTATATTGCCTAGGGTTCCGTATATTTTGCTTGTTATAAAATCAAAAGTTTTTGGAGAAATTGTTTAGTATGTAATACTTATTTGAAATTCTACGATATTCTTGAATTTCTCCCGATTCAAATAATAATTCAAACCAATTAGGCATTCCAACTAAGGACAAATAAGAGCTAAACAATGTCAAGTTATTGGCCTTATTGACTTATGAACAATATCAACTCAATTAGTAAATGAGTTATAAATTAATTATAAAACCTTTAGATTCTAACTCGCATATTTTAAGTGCCTTATTTATATTTGTCAAAATTTGTTCAAAATAGTCTTGATGCAAAATAATTAATTAAAACTGTATTTTAAGAATTTATAAAATAACATGAAAATATACTTTTCATAAAGTTTATTGTATCAAGCATATATTCCACATTTTAAAAAATCAGCATATTCAAGAAGAGACTTCCATATCTTGATCTACTAAATGTTGCACGGTTTCTTCTACTTCTAATAATGAAACTGATGTTTTAAGAACAGCAGTTGTACCACGAGCGTATCTGCAACAAAATTTGTAGGTCAATACCAAAAGTTGTAACTACTAAATACAATAAAATATTTACTCTATATTAAACAAAAATATTAATGCAGTAAATGAAACAAATATTTACAATCTTATTAAATGATCATGATATAAAATCTTAAAAATTATGTATAACTAATGTTCCCAAATAAATGTAGATAACATGAAATATGAGTCTTAAAGCTTATCTTATATTCAGAGTCCATGAATGTATAAAAATGCTTATTCTTAGAGTAAACGAATGAAATTGAAAATAAATATTTAAACTTTTTCTACATTTCAAAATCCACTGTATTTAAAGAAGAAATGATAAAATTAACTGATAAAATTAATGATTTCTATATAAAATAAGGGTTCAAGAATATAATATTAAGATTGATCATTTCATAAACTATGTGACTTGTAAGTCACATTAATTCGAATTAACAGTGAAAGTATTAAAAATTGTTAGGAGCCAGTTGAAAGATAAAAAAGCAATATAAACCTTCCACAAATGACATACTTTTTTATGTAAAAAACATTTTCCAAAAAAATATTTGTTTTACAAATATTTAACCAATAAACAAATACTCACTTGTAGCTTGCATGACGTTGACCTTTTGCATTGGCTTCCTCATAAGTTCTAAGATAATCTACACCATTCTGTCTGATAACACATAAATCTACATTGCTTCCTGAACCAAGATCATTAAAAATACCGGCAGCAATAGCATCACGAGCCAGTTTTTTCCCTTCTTCTTCATCCATATCCGGTCTCCAGCGAGACTCAAAAACAGACATAGCTGCTAATGAACCCGAGCCTACATAAAAAAGAGGAATTAAAATATAGCAAATGTAGTAACATCTCTAAGCTAAAAGTATCAATTAATATTAATGTATCAATCAATCTTAAACTACTCTTTAACTGTTTATTTCAACAAAATTACTTGTTTTCATTATAGAATAAAATGCATTCTGAATTGAATATTTAAACAATTGTTACATAGAAGATAATGCATAATTGCTTTACCTTTCCTTATAATAAAGAAAAATATACAAACCCATAGTGCAATAAGGCAATTTATCTGTAGAACCATGTGGATATATACAATAAAGATGAGGCCCTGTTGGATCAACACCTCCCAAAACAAGAGCAGCTGAAATGTTACCCATATAACGGAACAACATTTGCTTCAATAAAGTATTAGCAGTTACAACAGGTACAACACGGCCGGTGTTCAAGCGATGTAATTCCAATTGAGATGATATCATGTCAGATGTCATTTCAGTATCAGCTGCCGTACCAGCGCCACAACAACTATAAACAGGAAAAAGAAGTGTATTCATGATGTATAATATTGAAATTCTTAAGTGTTGTATATTATACAGTGAAATAACATCTGAATACTAAATAACAATTAGTTTATCAAACAAAGCAAAAATATATATATATATGCACAAAAGCATTTAACTCTATTATAATATACAAAAAGTGTAAAAAATGTCTTTTTCATGTGTTCTGATAATATATAGATAACAAAGTATTTCTATCCCATATAAAAGGGATAACAAAATATGATAATTTACTCAATTCTTCAAGCACTGTAATATAAACCACTGAACAAATTCTAGTATAGAATTAATTTAATTCTAGTGTAGATTTAAAAATTTTACATGTAATAAAATATAAATAAGATATTCACAAACACTACACTAGACAACACAAAAAATTTCACATTAAACATTATAGAAAAACGAAAATCAGAGAAAATGACATGTAGAGTGCAAGTAAAATATATAATAAACTTCTGATCAAAATCAAGATCATTGGCAATAACTTCAAAAGAAAAATGGATAAATATTATAAGCTAAATGAAGACAAAAGAGATTGAAGAGATGTTTAAAGATATTTAAATATAAAGCTTATAAATGTAAAATGAAATAGACATAAGTGATATGTATATGTATAATATAAAACTTGTGTCATAATCTCTTATACCAGGCACCCCTGCCTGATAGATATGAAAATAATATATCAATAAAAAAAAATCATAATAATAATACTTACTACATATTTTTAGCTAAGTAATGAATTTTGCTACAATTTTTATCAGCAACAATTGTATCCTCTGTAGCTCTAGTGTCAGCACCTAATATTACGCCATCCTTGTAAATTATGCCCACAATCGTAGTGCCTGTTTTTGTAGCTTTTGGCAAAGCATAACCTTTCTGTTTAAGCATTTCATTTCTATAAAATTTTCAAGAAATTTAGAGTTAAACTCGGGGATGACGATGCGCTTTTAGGTTAGAATTAAACAAACATTGCGTTACCTGTAACAATTATCAAAAGAAAATCCACCCGGATGAATTTCTGGAGCCAATGCAGAACTCATGTTTAAAAATTTCTTTATTTGTGTTATAGAAAATAGTTTCACAAAATATGTCACTACACAAATACTAAAATATACTTAATCACAGTATAGCAAATTGTTCAACGGCAGAGAAAAAATTGACGTATCACGGCGTCCTGAGATTAGTGTTGCCATATGACATTATTAATCCTCGTGTACCAACAGTGGCAGCATGAAAAAATTTCAGCGCAAAAATTGGTAAAAAACAAACTGTAATATCAAACCAAAGGGAACAAATACAGATCGACATTTTCAAAATAGTTGTCAACAGTTTTATAATGTGATTTAAATAATTATACTATTTACATATGTGAATTTATTTAAATTTGTGTCGATGAGGTATTGTATGTTTTGTTTTAAAATAAATAAACATTTCACTTATTTCTTTTTACGTTTACGTAAAATAGAAAAAAATACATCAATGGATAAAAGAAGAGTATACACCCATCCCTCGGTTTTCCAAAATATTATTTTTTTAACGAAACTTATTAATTATGCATTTACGCGGAAATAAATAAACATTAAACTTTAATTTAGAAAGTTACAAATTCTTAGAAATTTATGTATATGCTGAAAATATATAAGATTAGAAGTCCCCGTTATATGATCAAAACTAAGTTTTATGTGTGTATAAGCTAGTTTGTTTGTAAAACCGAAACAAAATGCATCATTGGGTTTAATTAGAGTAAAAAAGTATATCTTTACAATTTAAACTTTGGATTTAATTGTTTACAAACCTAAAATTGGAAATTTTATTAATATTCTTATAAATTATTAAATGTTTTTGATATTAAATATATAAATATTTATTTTTTGTTCAATGAGGTCGTTATTCATCATACTAAAAGGGCGTCCATTAATCGATTAATGTGATCAATTTTTTAAGGATTTTTGGAACCTCCTCCTCCTTGGTGATACATGGTGATATTCAAAATTCTCCCTCCCTTCCTCACCAAAGATTACGTGTATTTTTAGTTACGTGAAAAAATTGTAAATATTTTGATTCTTTTTTGAAAATGTATGGATTTAAAAAACAATCAGGTAAAAATGCACGTGGTATCTTACCATACCCCTCTCTCCCCCACGTGATATTTTATGATTTTTTGTCAAATCACCCCTTTCCCGTAAAAAACTGAAAAGTGTTTTTTTATAGAAATTTTTGTTTAGCACGGTTTATTCTTATAAGAGTGAATATTTCGAGTTTCATGATTATTTACCTCTCTTCAGTGTAAAGCGGGGGATAGGTGTAATCTGTATAGTAATATGAAATTAATAATAATATCATAGTCCAGTCATTATAGTAAGTTCACCTCGTAATTCGAGATATCCAGCTGTAAGTCTGTAAATACTTGTATATTGACACCCTAAAGTTATCTCAAAACCTACATATGGTATTGACACCCTACCATATTTAGGTTTTGAGAAAACTTTAGGGTGTCAATATACAAGTATTTACAGACTTACAGCTGGGTATTTTGAATTCCGAGATTCTTACCTAATTTAAGGACGAAGTCTAGTCATTTAAGAATTATTAATATAAAAGCCAATTAGAATTAAGTTACTCATTTCCTAGGACATTGTGATTTTGAACAATAGAAGTTTATTTGTTGGTTGCTTTTTTAATATATTTAACACTAGTACTGACTCAATAAGAATGAAATTGAATGAATGGGTGAACATTAGATTGCTATGAGCAAGTGCACTTTTTTACTTGCTCGAAGAGCTAAATTTTGTAAGTTGTTCAAATCACAGACAAAAAAGAGTGGTTCAAATTTAGTACATTATTATAATGTAAAATTATGTGTACAATTATAACATATATATATATATATATATATATATATGTATATATATTTGTTTTATTTGAATTTTAATATAAATTTTATACATCTCAGACAGACAGAAGTGCCTGGTATAAGAGATCGTACATAATATCTATACAAAGTATATATATCAATAATTATTAAAATAATTATTTATCTGAAATATAAATTATTTATATTTTATTATTTTCGGTGCGCCCCTGAAGAATGTATTGCCATATTGAATATTGTGCAAGGTATATGCGACAGGTGTTCAGGTTGAACAGGTAATACTTTTTCCGCAGTAAGCTTTTTGTGTTAATGGCAGTTGTATGTGTTGGTCCTCGTTGCGAGTTCATGGTTTCATAGCAAATTATGTGTGAATTTTAAAATCGAAGACCTATGTTGATCAGTTAAAAATATTATTTATAGTAATTTTTTTAAAAAAATGTGATTTTACCCATTAAAATGGGTTAATGGATATAATGTTTACCATAACATTTTCTTACGAAATACATTCACCTTTGACAGATTCATTGAAGAAATGACGAAGACGCTTCAGAAAGCATTGAAAATGTGTTAAATGAATATAATTAAATTAATTATTAGCAAAAACCGAGTGAAAAATATTGTGGTACAGTTATGTTTTGTGTTTGATGTATTCACAATTTGGATTTAATCCGGATTTAGAGATTCGTCATGCTGTTTAGACTATGAACCTGGATGCTGAAAGCTTGGTAATGTTTTATATTCAATATTAATCATCATATATATTATCATATTGTTCCATTAATAGAATGTGATGAACATTTGTTTTATTACGATAGAATCTTATAAGAAACCCATAACGATCACTTCGTTTCTAATATGGTAAACATTGGGCTACTTTCTTTTTGTATATATATATATATATATATATATATATATGTATATATATATATATATATAAATTTCAAATATCTGTAACTAAGAACAGAAATTCCAACAACAACCAAAATTTTCTAGCAAATTAAATAATAGAGCATGTTTTCATACTGTATTACAGTTTGCCAATCAAATATATAAGGTTTTAATGGCATTTTACCTTAAGGAAACTTCCTTAAAATTTACGATACTTTTTTGATAATAATTTATTTGATCAATATGAGTTTATTAAATTGTTACCAGTAGTAATTACAATTAGAAAAATAATTGAACAACTAATCATGAAGAAAGCTGACCCATATTTGTGAAAAAACGGATCGGCACGATTCTCAATTGATATCTTTCGAAAGTTCGGGATTGTTTGCAAAAACCTTAAAAATTTCTTTCATTTAAATGTTAGCCACAGAGAAACTGCTGAGCCGGTCATCACATGAAAGTAAACGGATGTTTTGAAACCAATTCATGATATTTTGAAGAATCTGTAAATTGACCAAAATATTTTTAGATTTCTTAACAATTTATAGACATCCATATATATGGGGATGATAGTATTGACTTTAACTATCCTGGAAAAAAAATGGAAATTATGAGCCTTTAAGAGCTACCTACTTTGGTGAAATTACGGCCATTTTTCGGTTATTGTGGTTACTTTTATTAATTTTGTTTATTTAAACTTTGGAAATGTAACCGTAAATACCATTTTTAGGACCACGGTAAAAAATACCATAATTGCCCCAAGTTTACAAGAAATAAGTTTTTATGTTGAGTTATGCCCCTCCTTTAAAAAAATGTACTAAAGTGTGTAGCCAAGTTTCATCAAAAGTTGAGGTATTTAATCAGGACTCTACAATGGCAAAATACTTGATAATATTATCATGAAAAAATTTTGAGTAAAAAAGTAAAAACCCATCATTTGATCTCCAAATTTTTCTTCATTTCGATATAACAAATCACATGTGTCTTTCTTCGCAAAAACATAATTGCCTATTATTACGAATACATATTAGCTGACTAATTCACGGATTTGTGTTCAACCAAATATAAACATGAAATGCATATTTGCATATTATCACATATTAACTAGATTTAAATACCAGAAATTAAACAAATAGATCAGTTATCAATATACGATAATTTTGTTTACACAAGCTTTATCAAATTTTTGCTCACGTTTCTGTTTCTCTGTTTTGAATTGATATGAGTAATGTTATCACAAAGCATGAAATACTTATATAAGATGATTAATCATTACAAGCATTTATAATACCAAAATGTTTGTTGTATATATTGAAATTTGTTATTAATAATCAAGTAAATTGATTACTAATGTGAAAAATTCTCAATGAATGCGTATACATACGAATATAATTAGTAAACATATACTAACCATTGTTGGAGATAGTGAATCCCCACTTTGGGGGCGACAACTGCCTTTTGGTCACCTAAATTCTAAATGTCCTTCACCCGCCCTTTATAGTATCAGTTTTTCTCTTTATAAAATTATTTATATGGGTTTCTAGCAGTATGAATAAACAAGGATTCACTTTCTGGCTGTATTATTATTTAATTATTATCAATATATATATATACCTGGTTGTAAAATTTGTCGTTTTTACTCCTAACTATTGATAGTAATCACTACCCTTGCAATGTAGGTCAAACAATTTTTGCTAAAAATTTGCTTATTAACTTCCCTTAGGGTGCGTTATAGTAATCGCAAAATTATCGAAAATGGTAATTTTTATATATCTTTACGTTTCAAAGGTTTCTGAATATTTTGGCATACCTTAGAAAAAATGGATGTATGTGTGTGTGTGCATGCGGATACAAATTTTCGTCGATTCGGGATCAACCGATTTGAATAATTCAACAAACGTTCGATTCGTATTGATAAGGAGATGTGCTGATTAGGTTTCGGTGAAGGCAGTTCTAGCCGTTTCGAAGATACGATATAATTCAAAAAACATTTTACTTGTATAATAAAAAATGTTTATTGGACATATGTACATCAAATTATCAGATATTTTATAGAGATTTTAATGTGTATCACATATTGTGTAATTTTTTTTGGGTTTCGTTTCAAGATTTTTAATTACGGCGCGCATAAGTCGTCAATCGTCTGCATTCTTCTTCTTTCCATTACTTTCAGTCCTCCTATTTTACCCTCGACGAGACACTCTTTTTGCAGAACGGGTCCGAACCAGTTTCTTTTTCTTCTCAGGATTGTGCTCATTTCTTCGCCAACTGTTCTCAGGACTTCTTCATTTATTATCTTGGCTAACTATAATATATTGCTATATATTTCTATTAATATTCCAATATTCTATCCTAATATATGATTATATAATTTATAAGCATATTAACTGTTTCGTACAC